AATCTTGTTCTCTTTTCAGATGCTGTTGTTTGCTTCAAATATTTTTCTATTTTTAAGAATCTACACTGTACATTACAAACATACACAAGCATCTTTGGGAATAAAAGGATAGCAAACAATTACTAGCAATTTGCTTGGCCAAATATGTAATTCAGGCAACGCAATTAGAAAGCCGTGTTTGCAAAACTGATCTGCTAAGTACAGCACTGAAAATTCCTGATTTTGGGAATAACACTGTTGGGTCACTGAGGGCATGTCATGGTCTTTATTCTCAAATAATGTTGTGTGTGTTTTTTTTCTGGATTTTACTACAGTAAATATGGTTCTTGTTGACAGCTCAGTACACGACTCTTAGCCAACTGTTACCGTAAGGCACTTAGCAGCTATTGACGCCATAGAAAGACTCAAATTTAGAATAGTGTGAAAACACCAGTCTACATTCTAGAATAACTTCATTTTGAAAAAGCAGCGAAATCCTAAACAATTTATTGTACTGTGTTGTTCACTAATGGTTTCATCCACTCCTCATAAACCTTCAAAGATACAAGTCCTTTAACATGAATAAACAGAACATCTGTTCATAATGTACTGCAAATATTCACCAGAGCATCTTTATGGAAGAAACATATGAGAATTGACACTTGGATACAAATGAAAAGAACTCTAAAAATAGATACAGGAATTGTATTTAGCGAGATCTTAGGCACCTCCAGAACACAGGGCAGTTGCATTTTTTCAAGTTTCAAGTGTATTTGTGAAATTGAGTATACTGGTGCCTTTAGAAGTGAGAGGTTGGCCATATTACCAATTTTATTGTTTCATTTTATATAACCAGTATTACAATTTTTAAATACTAAAACAAAAATAGTTTACTCATGGTTTTCCCGCTGACTGTAATTGAACATTTCTTGCATGTCTGCATTTTCTTAAACTAATTGAAGACTTTGAAAGTGTACATATTTAATAACAATTATTAATAAAATAATAAACAGCATTGTCCCATAATACTGTCATAAATGCTGAAATGTTTGTATGTGGTGAGAATACTTTGGAATGTAATTCTTTCCTTGATTTGAACACTTCCATTCACTAAAGGAAAGCTCTTCCTTTCAGGAATTCTTGATGAATTCCTAAGTTTTTCTTGTGAAACTTAACAGTGAGTTGGTTCATTAAAAAACAATAGTAGTAATAGTTACCTTGCTGTGGTAAGATCTTGAATTGAAGAATTCATATTTACTTTAAATGCCTGACATTTAATTAAACTTTTTAAGGTTTTTTTTTTTTTTCAGAGGAAATTTCTAATTATTTCTAAGAAATTTTCCATTACCAGCTTAAAACTCCTACACAAAAATGTATCATGAAATAACACATTCATTTATGCTTGTTGTTAAGGTAACAGTTTTATCAGAATAGCAGAAATAAAATTCTTAGTTTGTTAAACTAAGATAAATAGAAACTCTGCTAAAACACTAATTATCTTGCATTATTATGGGATTTAATACATTCCAATAGAAAAAAATACACAGACATTACTCTCGTCTTGTAATATAGCATAGCTGTCCTTTAAAGAATATACTGGTAGACAAATATTTGCAAATTCAGTAAGTATGTTTACAAGGCAGAGTCTTCCAACCTGAGCTGTCAGTTAACACATACTCAAGATTCCTGTTAACAGGGACAAACACCTTTGAACAGTGATAACTGATTTCTGCTTCCCTCTCTCTCTCCCTCCCTCCTTCTCTCCCTTTATTCCATCCATCCATCCTTTCGTCCATCCCTATCTTATTTCTCTCTGACTATTAACTCTCAGTTCCTAACATCAGTCATTTTTATATCAACCTGTTCTGGTGGCTGAAACAGATTATGTATGGAATAAGCATGAGTGGTACTCAGGTCAAAATGTGTGAAAATTTCAAAGGTTTTAATAACACAGTGGAAAAAGTATCTTTAGTTGGTGTTAGCATTAGCTGAGGAGTGAAAATGTATGCACTAATTTGCACAGCAATTGCAGCACAGCCTCTCCTGCCAGCACCAGGCTGCACGTGGTTACAGCATAGCATAAACCTTACAGAGCAAACAGTGCAGAAACCTCAAGACTGGTAAACTGTTTTTCTGTGGGTTTTGCTAAGTAGTACAGAGAGAGAGAAGCTTACGAGAGCAATATAATCCTGGTCCTCTATTTATTGAACGGGGAGGTTGTGTTACCTTTAAATGACATTGAATCTTTCAGATGACTGATTTAAAAAGTTATCTTTCTAATAGCTGGTAAAACTTGCAGGAAATCAAAATAAATAATAAGAAATACTGGGAGTTATTAGAATTTGTCCATTTTATTCCTATTAAAGATCTAGCTAAAAGGAACTCTTCTGTATTTTGGCTGCTTATTCTGAACATTTGAATAGATGATGGCTTTGAAGATGCCATCTCAAGTATTGCATAGTTAGCATAAACAATTTAAAAATATTCTGCTCCTGTAACAGATCTTGAAATGCCTCATCTAATGGCGTATGGTGTTTAGAGCCAAACTATTCAAAAAAACTTGCAAGCCTGTATATTTTCATTATTTGGTAACGTAAAATCTGTCTTTTACTGTTTTAATAATGACTGAAAAATAGCTTGCAGAAAATAATATGACCTTGGAATTTGCTTCAGACTGCACCTCCAAAGATGGCCCTGGAGGGTGGAAGGGGTAAAGCTCAAATTACTGGCTTGGGAAAAGTTGAATTTACAGGCAAATGTTGCCAAGTAACTTTTTATTGCACCTACTTTTCTGAAATATTGTATATATTTTGGATACATCGATAACAATTTTCTCCTAACTTCTAAAATATTTTTTGCCTTTCTAAATGTGGGGTCTGGAGATTTCATTTGGGAATCTTTTAGGCCCTGAGAGTACTTGCTTGTCCTGATATCGGGTTGTCACAGTTATGTAGTTTAGTGTTCTTTTGATTGTTTTCAGCAAATACTACCCCCCCAATCAATGTTCTAATCATTCACTTGATGATTTTATTATAGCTGTGCATATGGAATGTCATTTTTAAAGACTAGTGATCTAATGTTTTATTCAGCCTACCCCAGGAAATCTGATGTAAAACTGTATTAAGGTAACGTGGATACCACTGCACATGGCATTTACTGACTTCCGAGTCAACGTTCAGAAACTGTCTGTAGACTTGTATATATGGTAGCTGGAATTTTTTTTCCTGTTTAAACGTTCCTAATAGGAGTTTATTACTTTTCAGAAGCTTGAGAGCAGTACAGAACACATTCAGTTCTCGTATTTAGTTCCATCCCCATTTCAGTTACGGACCCTATTGCTATAATTAACTTTGTATTCCGTATACCTTGGGAGTGTTCTGCTTTCTTCTCCTTTCTAGCATATTCCCCAAGGTAACACAAAATAATAACATGCCATATGGCAAATGGAATCAGTTGAAATACCATACAGTGTCTTCTATCATGTACATTTTACAATATGACATTCCCGAGTTTGTAACTGATGCATATTGCATCACCTAAAAACTCCAACTGTGTGAAGCTGCTTCTCCCATTACCGGCATCCTTGCCGATACTCTGAACCTTTTAATTTTTTTTAACAAAAGTGCAGCAGCTGCCATTTTCTGGGAATCAACAGCTTACAAAGGAAGTGGCAGAATGACTTAATGTGTGGTAATCTTATCAACCTGCAAAAAGTGCAGTATTTTAGCACCAACAAAATATTTGCAAAATCATGAAGCGTGTCATATGTGATTGCTGTGATGCAACAGTAATAATGTAGAGTTCCTGAGAATCACAGGATGTGTTATTTAGGTAGCACTGTTGCACTTATAAACAGTGCTGTCTGAAGGCATTAGGTGTAGTTCTACGAAAGTGAAACATAAGCATTGTCATAGGCATTGTAGGTAGGCTAAAGCAATTCCCACAAAGGGCCAAACTCAACAAGGACTTGTATTTAGTGGATGTACTCAACACATGTGATAAGCTGATGTCACTTGGGAATGTGAAGCCCTGTAAGTAAACCATGTATTAGTAGCTGACGTGTTGGTTCATTATCTCTCATTGGGTTTAGTTTTGTAAGCAGGAGGGAGAGGTGCAGATAAAATAGATAGGCAAATGATGGATATGTAGTGCTTAGTTGTGAGTATACCATTTCATCTTACATTTGTGGCAAATGTAATTTCAGTTCATTCTGGAAATAAGCTATATCGAAAAAGTTAAGAGAGCATTTCTGTCACAAGCAGCTGAGAGGCCTTGTGTAGCTACGGTTCCCGTAGTTTCCTTCCTGCCTTGTTGTAAAGACAATGTACTTTCTCCATCACATTTATTTCTACCACTGTGTCATGACAAGTGGCAAAGCAACTTTTCCCCACAGTAAGGGGAATAGAAGAGCAAAGGATGAATTGTTGTTCACTGTTTGTGCAGCTTTGCTCCTTGGTAAATATATTTTTACTTTCCTTCAGTCATGCTTGAGAACTAAGCAAAAGCTCTAAATGAACACTTTCTGTGCCATCAATGTAAGAAGGTAGAGATAGTTTGGAATGTGGTTGCTTTGTTTCAGTGTCTTATGTAATGCCCAAAAAGCTCTGTACTAGGATAGTGTAAGTTAAGGTTTTAGAACTTGGAGCTGCATGGTTGAGAAACAATTATGACACACAGCACAACTCTCTTTTTTGTGCAAATATTACTTGTTTGTCTTTCTGTATCAAATTGTAACATGTTTTATTTAAACAAAGTAAAATGGAATATGGTAAAAGGATTTTATTAAAAAATGTCAAATACCAGGATAGTAAGTATTTGCATGGAGTGTAATGGCAATTTGTCTCAAAAAGGAAATTAATTGTTTGAGTGGGTGTAAGAAGGGTATGCGTGTGTATTTATACATATATCCATGGGTACATATAGCAGTAACTCTCAGAAATACTAGAAAGGAAAATAAGCAAAAACTATTTCAAGTAATTTGTACAATTTATACTTTATAGAGAATCACCTGAGTTCCTTACCTGAATTTTCACAAACTGCTCTGTCTTTTCATCCTTAATTCTCTTTCTTGCTTATCTGCATCTTATCCACTGCCATTCTCAATGGATTGCTTGTCTCCTTGTCACATATTAAACCAGTGCAGACTGCATATTGAGAAACCTGCATTGACAAATATCCATGAGTTACGTACTGGTAAATGAAAGACTTATTTTTACTGCTCTTCTGTTTTCCGTAAAAACAGAGATAAAGCAAAGAGAAACTTGGGTCACGTTCTGAAGTAATAATGTTTGTACATGTGAATACTGCCAAATTTCTGCATTGCTTATAACTTAAATTCATGCACAGAATCTGTTAATGTTTCTTTCCTTTTTTTTTTTTTTTTTTTTTTTTTTTTTTTTAGGAAGGAGAAAAAATAAATATATTATAAATATCTGGCAAGTTGTTCTTTGGAAGTACAAGAAACACCTTCAGAGCATTTATGTGTTTACTTTTAAGCCTAGTCTGGAAGTTTAAAACAAGGTGTCTTATCCAAGGCACTTCTTAATTCTGGTCACAATTGCAGGAATTATCCTTACTCTGTTTACTTTCTTTTACCATTATTTTCTTTTTTTCCTAGAACTTATTTCCTGACTTTTCCCTAATTCCTAACAATTGCTCCATCTTTTATATCTCTTTTCCCCATCTTTGTTTCTGAATGGACAATCAGACCATTAAGAGTTTATAAATAAAGATTGTATTGTTCTATTTTATGAACTTTGCTATTCCCAGCATTCACCAATTTCTAATCCTCTGAATTCCTTAATTAAATCCAAGATAGTTATAAACACCATTATGGGGAATTTGATCACAAATACTTGAAATGCCATTTTTGTCATAAAAATACAAAAAATAATTAACTCCCCTGGGATGTTTAATAAAAACTGAAATGTGAGCATATACAAGGGTGCCACAGAATTTTAATTGAATTTAAGTGCAGACTCTTAGGACGTATCTTGTAAAATGAAAAGCTTATCTTTAAAATAATTTCTATATTCACAGGGAACCTATTTGCTTGAAAAGGACAACAGATGTTGTCTACACAAAGACAGAAAGTACAGAAATACCTAAGATAGCTTCCTTTAAATGATAAAAATAGTTGTCATTCCATCTGAAAGACTGCAGGAGACTCTGTGTAAGCCTGCCTGCCAGAGGGCGTGGACTGGCAGCCTTCTGAGGCTTGAAGACACAGAGATAAAGTGGGCAGAGCCCAGCATCAAAGATGACCTTAGATAGGTTGATAAGAGCAATTTGGTCCCACAATTCCCACTGTTATTACAAAAAGGCTTTACATGTAACAAACATCAACATCAGAATTCTCTTATGCTATGTAATCATTAGCATAATGATTAAAGATCATTTGTATCATTTATTGCAGAGTTCTGTGATTAATCACATCCTAACTTTAAGATGTTTAGCATACATTTTCACAGAGCACAACAAATTTTATTAAGGTGCCCTGCTTTTCACAGAGAAGATATTAAATGCTGATTGTTTGTTATTTGCCAGGAAATACACAAAATACAATGTTTTCTGTGATTTTTTTTTTTTTTTTTGTAGGAACCATCTGTCATTGTCTCCACTTTCACTGTACTGAGAAAGGCAGATGCTGAAGGTAAGCAGCACATTTACTTTTGACAATGGCTAGAGCCTCTAGCCATTACATTTACCTAGCTTTAGAGCAAACATGCTGGAGAAGTGGCTACCTATTGTGATTCTAGTGCACTGGGACCAACTATGACTACTTGTGATAGCAAATCTCCTAAAGTCCTAAGGAAATTTGTTTTATAGATCTTGTCAGGAGAGCATATACAAACACAGTTCCAGCTGGGAACTGGAACAAAGAAGTGAAACTTCAGGCTAGAAAAGTATCAGGATAAGTTCAAGTACGAATTTGCCCCTTCTCCTTCCTTCATTCTAGTAGAAAATTATACTGAAAACTGTTCTTCTCTAATGATTATAGAAGACTCTGAAATTATGCACAGCAGGTAGAAACATCCGGCACAGTTTTCAAAAGATATTGCATATTCATGCATTTTCCAGTGCTAACAGCTAACTACTGCAAGAGCAAAGGCTGTAAGCTCTGCTGCTGTTCATTCTCTGCCCATTTTACTTTTTAAAATTCTGGCATCAAATTCTGGGGGCTGCATACTCTACTCTCTGTTATTCTTACCAGCGCTCTTAGGATGAAGAAAAATATTTAACATGCCAAATCATTTTGACTTTGAATCAGATTGCAACAAATTGGTATACAATTTTTGAGAAAGTGAAAAGGGATATTTCTTCACTAAAACACATGAATCCCTTGTTATAATCTTTCATATTGCACGAAGAGAGAGCTGTGCAATATGAATGTACCTAGCGCATATTTCAGGAGCAAAATATAAACACTGGCAGCAAAGGGCACTTTATGCAAATGTGTTTTCTGAATGATGGCTTTGCCTCCCTGATGATTCTGGCAAGACATAATAATTTGGAAAAATAACTGGAGTGCCCTGCCCTTTGGCTCTTTTCTCCAGGGTGCTTACATCCCCTTATAAATAGAATTATGACAAAACAAAATGTACATTTGGGTGGGAGTTTCTTTGAAAATACAATAAATATATAACTGGAAAACAGTAGAGATAAAGCAGATCTATAAAGGACACCTTTTGGAAGAGAAAACAGACCATCATGCCTAGCTTTATATTGCACTCATTTTCCTTTTACAGCCCACCTGTCATTCTTGTTATCTTTGTCTAGAAAAGAATTTACAGTCTTAGAATTTAAGTCTCTGCTTCAATTGGTTTCCATGGTAACTTGGTTCTGTTTTAAAACCTCTATATAAAATTGAATTGGTTAAAATGTTAATGCTGGAATGGCTGCCTATACCTCAATTACACCTTTTTCACTATTCAACAACATTCAGTTAGGGGCGTCCCTCCATCTGCTCTAGTTTCTTTACCTCCTACAACACTGTCTCACTAAGCAAATCAATCAGTTCTTATTGCACGCACAGAATTTGGGTACTGACCAGTGGTAACATATTGCATCCTGTGAAGTACAGAATAAGGCATGTTAAGTTCTGGCGACTTGAGCTCACTAGGAAAGGGTCCTTGTGAGTATAGTAAACACACTAGGGCTGAAAGCCCCAAGGACAGTACTATCTCTTAAAAGATAGCAGAAGAACCAGAAGAAGTACAGGATCTCCCTTCTAGAAAATGCTTTTCATTAAGGTAGAAGAATTTCCCCTTCAGTCCAGATCAAGGCGAAATAAAAGGTTAGAAAAGCAAATGAGAGTTTTAATTGGTTTTAAGAATCCTATGATGATTTTCTATCACTGCGGTTATGAATATTTTATCCAGCCTTTTGTTATTCTGTATCTTAGTTTCAAGCTTTTCTCATGCACTCGTAGTTTCTGATTCTCTGGACTAGTTTGACTTTGTGATGATAATTCTGGTTACTGGTCTCAAATCTCAGCTAGGAAAAAAATCAATATTTTTTATCTAACTTGAATACTTCAGGGATAATACAAGTTACAGTTGTAAGGAAATCTTTAAAGAATTTCTAACATGGAGATGATACAGCTCTTCAACAATTATTCTGAAAACTTAATGATTTCATAAAGGATGATGCCTTACCTGTATAATTAAAAGCTCTTAAAATTCTATACTAGATTTGCTTTTCTGAGTTGTATTGGGTACCTACCTATTTGTATAGAAAATTTTTGTTCCATAAGAGGCACAAATAGAATTAACGAAAAATACTTTTTCAATGTGCCACGCAGACATGCCAAAAGCTACTGAATGTGTGTACACACCTGTTCATTTACAGCTGAGATTGTCTAAACACTTGGTAAAGATCTCAGGTTTTGCTATGTGACAAAAAGATTATTTTCCTGTGATAAGTGATTGTCCAGCTGGTCCTATTACATGTCTTAAATACAAATTCATGTACAAAACAAATTCATGTTTGCAGTGTTTTGTAATCCGGCTAGTATCAGAGCTTGCACTTAACTACACACTATTGCTCAGTGACTCTCGTGTCTTTACCTCCTTTCTCAATACCATTACTATGCAAATTATATGCATGCTATATCTTTTATATGGGTTTACTTTTGTATTGACTAGACTTTAATTGTCAAATACTTGTTCATCTAGATAATTGAAACACCTTGAAATTCAATGACAATTCTAGACGAGAAAGTCAATGTTTTTGTCCTATGCCAAACAATGTAAGTTTTCTGGAAACTGGATTTAGGCTGTACCTAAAATTCCTACCAAAATAACTTGAAAAAACAAACATTTTTTCCACCTCTTTGTAGCACATTTTTAACAGGGAGCCTCATTTACTCCACGTTCTAACACTGTCCTATAGACGTTAATTTCTGAGAACAGGGCATTGTCAAATTAGGGTATCATAAATTCACTGCATTCCTCTCACCAATCTTGGCATTAGGATCTTTACAGTACTCCCACATGTCAGTAAAATATGACCTTCTCTCACAGATTTGTGTGGACAATGCTTAAGTGAACTGTGCTTTTCGAATGGGCATTTTTACGTTCACAGTGTGATTTTTTTCAGTAGCTGACATGCAACCAACATGTCTCCAGTTTCCATATGAAATAATAACTAACATCTGATGCTTAATCGAATGAAAAAATAAATAGAAGTTCCTTATTTTTTTATTCTTTCAGCCTTTTCAAATTCAGTTGAAAAATTAAATATGCTTACACTTTCCACATTGTTTTCTTTTAATTTCTATTCACAATCCTTATTATGAAAAGTGGACTGATCCTGATACCATTGTATCATTAATAATTTCATTCTGATGCTAATTGTTGCCACATAATACAGCGGTTTGATGTAAAACTGATTATGCTATGTACTTTGCATGTTGAGATAGGAAATTACTTGTCAGGAATGGTCTTTAATACGGTTTTCATTGTATTCAACTAACCTGCTAATTACTGTGTGTTGCAACAGGCAACATTTTCTTTTGCCCTGAATACTGTTCACATGTACAGCAGAGTAATTGTTAGCTGCAAAATCATCACAAATATATCGTTTGAAGTTTCTGTCTTTTTAGGTAGTTTATGAAATACTGCTCAGTTACAAGGTGGGAGGTTATTTATTAATCTTTG